AAGTTGGAAGGGACCTTGAAGGTCATCTAGTCCAACCCCCTGCTCAGGCAGGAAACCCTACACCATTTCGGACAAATGGCTGTCCAGTCTCTTCTTAAAAACTTCCAGTGTTGGAGCATTCACCGCTTCTGGAGGCAGGTTGTTCCACTGGTTAATTGTTCTCACTGTCAGGAAGTTTCTCCTTAGTTCTAGATTGCTTATTTCCATTACTTCTCATACTTTTTTATTCCTCAGTTCTAACCAGTTAGAACATTTGTCCCATACCTCCTAAAATTCTGTTGCTTCCTTGTCTTTTATTTCTAAAGTTAAGTTTATATACATCTCAGCGCATTCTAATATCTTGTGAATAATCAGGTCCTTTGTTGGTATATATTTTCGCGTGTCCAACATTGCGCATGTGCAATGCGTGCGCAGCTGTTATTATGTGTACAATGATGTATTGGAGTTGTTTTTTCCATCTTTGGATTAATTATCTATATAAATAAAAATGTAAATGTTCGTTTGTTCAAAATCTTAAATCTCCGAAAGTTCTTCACCGATTGCTTTGAAATTTTGACACAACGTTGCATTCGAATACACGCGTGTTTTTATATACCTATATTATATAGATGTCACACCTGTGACAGGTAAAAACATGTTTTTAAAAAAACAGCGCCATCTGTTGGACGTAAAAGCAACACACGCTTTTACCAGACTGAGCCACAGCAACGCGTGGCCGGGTACAGCTAGTACTTAATAAGAATAATTCGGGTTTAAGTTCAATTTGTTCTTTTGTTATTTCCTGTATCCATCTCCTCATCTGCTCCCAATAAATCTTTGCTTTGGAGCATTGCCACCATACTGTATGTGATAAAATGTTCCCTCTTTGTTTTTGCACTTCCAACAGTCCGGTTTCATGTTTTTGTATATCTTAGCCAATCTCGCCGGTGTTAAATGCCATCTACAGAACATTTTATATTGGTTTTCTTTATATGCAGTTGACAGTGTTAATTTGCCATTTTTGTTCCATACTCTTTCACCAGCGACCTTTAAAGCCAACTCATAGTCTCCACCACTCAGCTCGGAAAAGACCACCCATCCAATACTTAGGACAATACTTAATGAAATACAGCAAGCAATTTTGGTCACCGTAGTACAAAAAAAAAGATGTCGAGACTTTGGGAAAAGTTCGGAGAAGAGCAACTAAGAGGATCCAAGGCCTGGAGACTAAAACATACGAAGAACAGATTTGGGAATGGCCAGTCTACAGAAAAGAAGGACTAGGGGTGACATGATAGCAGTGTTCCAGTATTTGAGGGGCTGCCACAAAGAGGAGGGGGTCAAATTATTCTCCAAAGCACCGGAAGGCATGACAAGAAGCAACGGATGGAAACTAATCAAGGAGAGAAGCAACCTGGAATTAAGGAGAAACTTCCTGACAGTGAGGACAATTAACCAGTGGAACGGCTTGCCACCAGATCACGTGACCGCGGGGATGCTGCGACTGTCGTTAAGTGTGAAAAACAGTCACAAATCACTTTTTCCAGTGGTGTTGTAACTCCGAACAGTCACTAAACAAAGGCAAGGACGGCCTGTATAATATTATTTGGAGGAATGTTATGTGGGTAATTGAATATATTTCTGTTCTGACTCCATCAAAATACTCAGCCAGGCTTAGTAGGATAAATAATACAATTTCAAACAGAGGCAGTGCAATCTTAAAAGCTCAGCTATTACAAACACCGAAGAAAATAAAAGTAGGAAATGTGTGGTCGCAATCAAAAGACAATGCAATTTTAAAAAAAAAAAAAAACCAATCCACCTCTGTATGGCATACTAGGATAAATAATGCAATTTCAAACAGAGGCAGTGCAATCTTAAGAGCTCAAGCCTAGTAAAAAGGGCAATAAAAATACACATTTTGCCCCGTCCGTTGTCGGGAATAACTGCACAGTTCGCCACTCGTACTGAGCACAGCCCTTGGGACCAAAAAATGGTGGGAGATCCGATGCACACTGGCCACAGCTTCATGCAGCTAGTCCTCAACTTGCAACAGTTTGTTTAGTGACCGCGCAAAAGTTACAACGGCACTGGGAAAAAAGGGACTTATAATAATAATAATAAAGTTGGAAGGGACCCTGGAGGTCATCTAGTCCAACCCCCTGCTCAGGCAGGAAACCCTATACCATTTCAGACAAATGGCTGTCCAGTCTCTTCTTAAAAACTTCCAGTGTTGGAGCATTCACCACTTCTGGAGGCAGGTTGTTCCACTGGTTAATTGCTCTAACTGTCAGGAAGTTTCTCCTTAGTTCTTAGGACCATTTTTTCCCACGTACGACACTTGCAGCATCCCCGTGGTCACATGATCAAAATTCACTTGCTTTGCAACTGGCATGTACTTAGGACGGTTGCAGCGTCCGGGGGTCACGTGATTGTCCTTTGCAAACTTCGGACAAGCAAGGTTAATGGAGAAGCCAAATTCACACGACAACTGGGTTACCCTCTTAAGATTCACTTAAGAACTGTGGCAAGGTCGTAAAATGGGGCAAAAGTCACTTAACAACTGTCTGACTTAGCCACAGAAATGTGGGGCTCAAGCTGTGTTCGTAAGTGGAGGACTACCCCTATTTAGAAAGTACCCCATCCCTTAGTGTCCAAAACTCAGGATGGAAGAAGTGGCCATCACCTGCAACTTTTCCTTGGGATTCTCACTGCCGGCCAACTCCAGCCAAAGCTTCCCACCAACTCCAAAGGCTCAAAATTCCCCCAAATTCCAGGAAAATTCAAGACTTGCCTCCTCTAAAAGTCGGATCCTGGTAGTCAAGCTTGCTTCTACTTCCTGGACTTTCTTCTCTGCGTCTTGCTTCAGACGCCGGATTTCGGCGTCGCCACCCTGGGCCAGGCTTTCAACGGCTTTCCTGCAAAGGTCAAACAAGGGACAATCGAGAAGACGAACAGCAGCAGGAGACTGAAGGAGGGTGCTGGTGTCCAGCTGGACCTTCCTTCTCAACCCTTCTCCAGCCGGGATGGAGATTCCTCCCTCACTAGCTTGGCTGGCAGAGGGGAAGGGGACAATTTGTCATAGCCAATTCACAATTCACCATGGCCAATTCACCATGGTCAGCTCGCCACGGCCAGCTCGCCAAGGCCAACTCATCATGGCCAATTCACCGTGGCCAACTCACTATGGGCAGGTCGCCAAGGCCAACTCATCATGGCCAATTAGTACTATTACAAATCTCTGCAATGGCGGATCGGCCG